CAGGGCGAGGGGGCATCCAGAGAAAGTGTTGTAAAGTGTATCATCCATGTCGTTTGTCCTGGCTGCCAAGGTGCCCGGAACCCTCATGCCAAGAGGATGCTTTTCGACGGCGGCTGTGTGGTTTACCTGTGTTCGGAGCTGTTGATCTGTAAGTGTACCCTTTATGTTGCAGGATGTAAAAGTCTTTAGTGAAGATGGAACAAGCAAAGTGGTCGAGATTCTAGCAGACATGACAGCCAGGGACCTCTGTCAGCTGCTCGTTTACAAAAGTCATTGTGTGGATGATAACAGCTGGACTCTAGTGGAGCATCACCCTCACCTAGGATTAGGTAGGGAATGGTCAAAGGGGTGGCGTGGTTACCTGGGAACATGAAATATGTGTAATTCATGTTAATGTGCTTCCAGCCGGAACGTTTGCTTGCCACTGCTTTTATTTGTACAATTAGCCAAAGTCACATACGTGCCTTTTGTGTATTACAACTTGATGTGTTAAGCGGTTAAGCCACTTCAAGTCCTTCTCCTAGTTCCCATCCTCTTTTTTTTTTTTTATGACAAAAAAGAAAAAGAATTGTCTAATCTTCATACTGGCGCTCTGTTGCTACCTTGCTGTTTCTGAAGCTATTGCAAATAAACAGCTTAGGCAAATTAAGCTTGATCCTTAGAGTACCAGTCCTGTGAAACAGCTCAGCTCATCACCAGCTGGGAGGCCTGGGTGCACAGACTCCGCTTTGCATACCTACAGTAATGCTTCTGAAAGCTAGACATGCTGAGGTGGGGGAGGGGGTTGCCTAAACTTGACTTCAGGCAAGGGAAAAATGGTGGCACCACCCACAAATCCACAGGCAATTTCTGGACCAGCAGCGGCATCTGCTCTCCGGGCAGCAGCTCCTCCACCTGAGCGAAATGAAGGTGTCATGGTTACAGTTTCAAGAAGGCAGCCAGAGGAAGAACTGTGGGGGGGGTTAAATAACACCGTGAATTGGTTTAATTACAGTACCTGAAAGGATCTCGTGTTATTAAGCCTTGCTTTTCCTGTTATTTTGTGGCACTGACGAGTTGCAGCCTTCTCCCGTGCAGCTTGCAACTGCATATCGCTCAGATATGCCATCTGTAATTCTACGTAGCATACAATAACGCTTTAGAAAGTGCAGCATTTGGAGTATTAGTCAATATACTTCACGGGGAATTTTTTCTAGAAATTAGAAGAAGGCAAGTCATAAGCTGCGATCACCAGCACTGGGATTGTGAACGCTGTCTGTAGCTAACAGAGGTTTTCTGTGTCTAAAAATGTTAATTCAGAGCCCTTGCAAATAAAAAAAGGAAGCAGTTTGCTGGAGATGTAATGCCCTAAACCGATACTCTTAAGTGGAGATATATTCACTGGTCCACAGAACAGCACTCAAAAAAAAAAAAAAAGCCCTATAGGATTTTCTGTTTTTTTAGTGGTTTTATTGGATATCTCTCCTAATACAGAAATATGTGAAAAAATTAACACAAAACACTAAGTTGTATATGCCTGTGATATGCTTTCAGTTCTGATGACATAGGGTGAGGTGAAGAATTAAGGTATAAATTACAGAATCTTTATCTCTGTAGCTTAATGTGCCACATGGGCGCTTCTGACAACCCTTACAAATTTTCGGTTTTATCAATGCTCATTAAACGACCAGGCTCTCTTTTTCTATATTCTCTTTCCCATCATTGCTGATTACCAAGGTATTGTGTAAACAGAAGCCTTCTCCTTTGTAACCAACATCCTTCTCCTGCCAGATTCATTCAATGATGCCACAATTCAGTGTTTGTGACATCACAATAGCTTCCATGGTGACTAATTGTGCTGTCAAACTCTGGTGTGTGACATCTCTGAATGAATCGGGCAGGAGGCTGATTAGGAAATCAAAAGCTTCTGTTTACACACAAATAACCTGGTAATTAACAATGATGGGAAAAGAGCAAGATACTTATCGGGCTGCATTTATATACATGGGGACCTGCCTACCTCGGACCGCTGTTTCACGCCGCAGCACAAAGTGGGGCCCGGCTGCCCCGGAGGGACCCCGGGGTGCGCAGGCTGGGGCTCCGGCAGCCCCCAGGCTTGGGTCCCCAGGGACTGTGCCAGCCAGGGCCGTCCCGGGGGGCTGCCGGCGGAGCTGGGTGAGAAGCAGTGCAGCCTGCGAGGGTGCAGAGTGACCAGGCAGAGAGAAAAGTATTTCAGGTGTCAAAAAGGGTGTAGCAGTGCAGATGTCACGGTATTCCAAAGGATGTGGACAGAAAGGGGAATTAAAGAGTTTGTTTAGTGGGAGACAACAGCATCCGATTTCTTGGCTGTGGGGACTGAAGTATGCACTGCGACATATTCAAGAGAATCTAGATACCAGCTCCCATGCGTCCACCCGGTTTTGGTTGCAGTTTGAATTTTTTGTTACACGGCTGCTTATGTCTGGCTTCTCAGTACCTTAAATGCTTCCCTGTATTTCGGAGACTGTCAGAGCAAGGTAGTGATCTGTCTGCACCTTAGCTGAAGTTACTATCAGGTATCTGATGTTCCATATTTTTCCCTCCAGGAGTAAGGTTGGTAGTATAAGTGTGAAACAATGGTGAATAGATACTCAGCAGTGTGGAAAGAAATATGGTTTAAGAGCAGTGAGAATTCTGTGTTTCCGGAAGACATTATTTCTTACTCAAGACACCTTTGCTGACTTAGTGCTGTAGGTGGTAATCTTGAAGTCCACCAAAAGAGGCTAGTTCCTTCATAAGTTCACTATCTTTTTTTTTCCCCCCTGGTCTTGCCTAATGCTACTTTCCCAAATGGCCCAGTTTGCAGAACCCGTTCATCTTTTTACTATTGGGCAGACTGAGGACAAGAGCAAATTTTTGAAGCCAGCTGCGTGTTTATCATTGTGGTGATCTAGGTCCCAGTTTTTAAGGAACCTTCACCTGGCTGCTTACTTTGCACACGTAGCCAAGTGTATTCCAAATAACACGTGTGCTTGCTAAAAACTTCAGACAGCTGTTGGGCTCCACAAAGTAGTTACGCTCTCACTGGAGGCAGGGGTGCGACAATTTACCATCAGACTTGCTTAGATTTGACATGTGGAAATGGTTCCTGCTGCACTGGACCACTAGTATCTAAAACAACTCTGTGGTCAAGATTTAAGCAGTCTGTGAAACTCGAGTTGGTCCCGTTATTTCATTTGCAGCTAGAAATACAGCTAACCTGTTCATAACATCATATTCTCCCTATGTGCTACTCCATGCTTAACCATCATCAGTGTAGGACAGGGACTGAGGTATCTGTATTGGACATGAACATGTCATTTGTAGTGATTCTCTAAATGGGAATTTTGGGCCATGCCTATGAGTTGTTCACGATGGAATCCAGCTCCTTTTCCCATCTTGTGTCACTTCTACGGTTCTATAGAAGTTTAGATAATAATACAGGGAATTTTTTTCCTTTTGGGGGGGGGGAAGAGAGTCTGTCCTGCTCTTCTAGGAATTGTGTAGGGGAGACTGAGTTGAGCTGTCAGATAGACATTTCTGGTCACTTCAGAAGCAGTGCCACTTGAAGAGAGACTGACTTATTGAGCTTCATAGACTGACATCTGTGCTTCTAGTTTTGAGGAGGAAGCTCGAAGCCGGGCCGAGGTTGAGTTGCTGGTATGTCAAGTGGCAGTTCAGCCCGTTGGTACTAACCAAGTGCAAATAACCAAGGACTTCCCAAGTGTACAACTTCTATGAAGTAGCAGCAAACCTGACCAGGACTAGCTTCCTTTTTACATGCACGTGCTATGAAATGCTGCACCTTTTCCTCAAGATGACTTTCACCATCAGAATGAAAATGTGAACATTAAATCAGTGGGAGTATCACCACAGAATCTCAAAAGGGTCTTGATTTAGTAAAGATGAAGGAGTCACTGGCTATATTTACACAAACAAATGATCAAAATGCAAAACAAATTGACAAATGTTCATCTATACTGCATTTCCTCAGGACAGAATGAACAGGACATGTTTTGTCTGTGCCCTGAGGCAAGCAATCTGCGTTAGGAAAGCAAAGACCACAACTTTGTGCAATGACAGAAACGGGCAGTAGCAGGACGCATGGTCTTGCAGGGTTCATACTGTGATGAAGACCTGTACCAACATAATTAAATGTTTTTTGGAGAAAGCATAGCTTAAAAAGCAGGAGTGCCCTCCACCCTCATAGGCATAGGCCCACCATCCTCATCATGGTGTGGTGGAGATTTGACTTACTTGGTTGCCTAAAACCATTACAGTAGCACTAGGTCAGCAGCAATACCTGCAACTTCACCTGTGAAGCCCCTGGGTAATGTGGAGGTTTAGGTGGTGAATGATCAGGTGGAGCACAATGTCCTTAATTAACTGCGACTGACAGCATTATTGTTGCATACGTTAGCTGAGGAACTACCCCATAGAAGTGGTGTTATGGCTCACGCACTAAGAAGCAGCTCTTTATCTGAGAGCAGCCCAGTGTGGAAAATCTCCAATCTTAACCCCTTGGAACTCAGTCTGTAGCAAGGCTGGACATTACAAACGCGCGGTAACTGCCAAAGTCGTCAGTGGGCTGGTGATGACTGACAGACTGAAGGCAGGTAAAAAAGACGATGGGATTGTTCAGAGATAGGTTAAATTTTCAAGTAAAGGACTTACATTAATCTGCTGCATTGAATAATTCAAATGACATTCAAGAGCTTGCTACTTTTTGAGGTACCAGTGACTGCTGGCTTTCTATAAAACGCCCCAAGAGAACTTGGGTGGCAGCCTGGCGTTTCTAACCATGAGAATGCGAGGGTGGGGCAGGGACCCCCCAAACTTCTCTGGCCAGCAAGTGACATGCAGTTTGGATAGAGCTTTGCGAAAGTTATTTTTTGTTTAACCTCATTTTTAATTTCCTGTTATATAAGAGATGAAAGTACTGACTATTAAGGCATTTGCAAAATACCTAAATATTTTCTCGGAAACTTTTGAAGATTTGCCAAGATAATGAGTTCATTAAGTAGCGCACACTTAGCCCAGTTGCCTTCGTTGGAGTTACTGCTTTCAGTGAACTGGATTTGTTAAGCTATCTGTTCGTGCTTTCATGGGCCATTCTTTTGACCAGAGTAGTGGTGGTTATGGGGAGTTACCTTGTAACCAGATCTAGAGCAGAAAATTGCCCTGTCATGTGTACAAAACATTTGTCCCTGTCAGTATTCCTGTAAAGTAGATCCTGTGACCTCTTTCATAATAAACCCCATTGTCTGGCATCTACAATAAAGGCCTGAAGTTCACCTTGAAATGAACTGGTTTTATAGAGTGTGATCAAATGGGACACTGTATTTCTGTGATAGTTCAAGACCTGACAGTGGCCTTGCTGCAACTTTTTTTTCCCTCAAATCTGTCCACCTTGCCAGTTCCACAGCACATAGCCAGCACCGAAAGAAGCGGTTCGTGTGTATTATTTAAGCTACTACACACAAAAAAATCTTACATTCTTTTTTTCTCAAAAGTCTGTGCTTATGAAGCCCTGATACAGGAAATCTTTGAAGAACACTGCCATGTAATGTTAAACTTTGTAATACTTATGCCCTAGTTCCTTTAAATGCCTCATAGCAGTATGGCTTGAAAGCTATAATATGTTTTATTAATATCTTAAAGGTAACGGAATTATGCAGGGTTGTTTTACTCCTGTTCTTCGGAAGTTGGTCTCGCTGCTTCTGCTGGTTGGCTGTGTGTTAACATCATGTTCTTTTTCCACAGAGAGGTGCTTGGAAGATCATGAGCTCATAGTTCAAGTGGAGTCCACAATGGGAAGTGAAAGTAAATTTTTGTTCAGGAAGAATTACGCAAAATACGAATTTTTCAAAAATCCCGTGGTGAGTCTCATTACTTAGCTGTTTGCACCACAGAGAGAGGGATGGATTGCAATAACATTGCTGGGCGCTCTTAATGTCTTAAACATCTATTAAAAAAAATAAAGAACCAACAAACAGAACTCTTCCCAAAGAAATTTTAACCCATGTTTAAATTCCTTGTACTCTCCTCCCAGCCTGAAAACCTCAAGTGTTTTCAATTTACTAAATATGCTTATTTCAAAATGGCTGTAGTTACGTTGGAGGGTGACCAAGACAGGGAAAACTTTGTTGGTTTAAGAAAAACAATCACAAGTGTTATTTACTCATTATCTTCAGAGTTACTTGATTTGAAGCAAATTGATGGCATAGCGTGCAGTATCCAAACCTTTCAATTTCTGACAGTAGTAGTTTAAAAAAACCCCTCTGGGTAACCCCTGAAGCACTTACTACATACAAGGAATTTCCAGTTTGTTGTTACCTATGTTGAACAGCATCTCACCTGTGGCTGTGCTTTACAAGTGTGCTCTGCCTTCTTTACTGATCGCAGTGACTCACCCTCTCTATGTCCTCATGTATATCAATGCTTGAAAAGTACTGTATGTCACAGCTATACTTATTCCTGGATTTGTAAGATACTGTGAATGTTGTAATTTTAAACTCTTCGCAGTGTAACTTATTTGGGGATGTTTTTTCACATTTTATCTAAACAATTATGTTAGAACGGGCTGTTGACGTGAGTCTGTGTCAGCTGGTGCAACCCACCCAGGTAGCTGAAGAAGAATAATCCAGAGGTCGTTTAGGTGAGAATAGATTTTGGGTCAGTCGGGCATTTGTGGTGTCAGAAGAAAAAAGATACATGAGGTCACATGAAAACTCATTGCTGAAGTTGCTGTGGATGATAAATTTGTTCCTTTTCTCACAGAAGAGATTGCACAGTTGCTGCATCCTCGCACTTGTGCTTGCACGTACATTTGTCATCTGCTAGTGCTTGTTTCAGAGGCTGTGCCTTGACTTACTGTGTGAAAGATTTCTGTACAGAGCGTTTGTGATTTTTCACTTCTGTTGATCTTCCCAGCTGATAACCTATGAACATCTGAGTGTTGTACAGAAATTTTGGTATTGTAGGAGCTAGCACATTGGTTTCATGTGCTATACTTTAATTAATAACAGAGCATGGCAGTAAAACCCAGAATCCTTGGCATTCAGTTTCATGCTCCTGCAATCAGAGAATAAATCATTCTTTTGGCGTAAGAATGCAAAGGCTCCCTATCCGTTGCATTAGCTGTTGCCATATGGCACTGTTTCTACTCAAGAGGGGCTGGTAAATGTTCGCTTTCATAATTCATTGTGCAACTTACCTGGCAGAAGGGTGATTCCTCTTCAGCCCTAAAGACTGAAATTTATGTTGCCTGAGAGTGACGAATGTTCTAAACTGGAAATGTTTTTGTTGTGACTCATCTTGTTACAATCGGTCATTGTTTTATTTCAGGCATTTCTGCATTTCTCTGTGCTTCAAATAATGTTTAAAAACTTCAAGAATGACTTAATGTAGTTGCTGTGTATAGTAAATTCAGTGTACCGAATTATACAGGCGTTTTATAACATGGCAAATGAAAAGGGGAACTGGAGGAATAAATCTGAAGTCAGGTCACTGATTTAGCAGTCAGAAAACTCTCTGACCGTTGTCATGCAAAGCTTCGGTATGGATGACATATTGTACCAGATGCCTGAAATCTAAAAGCTCTGTAGAAGCACCTGTTTGTGTGTCCAACAATGTTTGCTTCTGTGTTGGTGGGATGGGGGAAAGGAATTAGAGGCCGGCTTTGAGATTATTCAAACCTAGCACATGAAGCAGAGCATCCGACACAGAGCCTAATTAGTGCACGTGACCTTGTTCAGTTTTTATGATTTCATTTCATGGAATGTATGCTGACCTATCCTTACAAGAAAAAATACTGGGCTCTGTTATGTTACCCTGAAATACAAGCATGTAGGGGTAGATTTTGCAAAGGGCTTTTTTTTCTCTTGATGGATTGAAGGGTTTCAAGCCCTGAGCATGACCTGGCTGTTGAACAACCAGATGAAAGCATGAACAGTCACACATGAGCTCTTTCTCCTATTGAAGGTCTGCAAATGTCACTGCATTTGGAGCCTTCTGAGGGACAGAGCAGGTTTTAGGGTCAAGCAGATACAGCACTGAAGAACTGTATTTTGGATAGAAAAAGAGAGTGCTATCAAAGGTGAAGGTGTAGATACTGGAGGTCCTGCAGCATTTCTGCCTGAGGCTTCTCTTAATGCATTGGCATCCAGCTTGCCCCTGTCAGGGCAGAAAAAATGTGTTATTCCTCCTGCTCTGCATCTTCCATGCGACAAGTGGAGTTACAGAGAGTTCACTAAACAGCCTTTCTGGACGGAGAGGGAAGCCCAGAAATTTGGTGGCAGAATGTGGAATAAGCAAGGAGTCACTGCTTATGCAATATGCAGGACCATTCATCATAGAGCACAGAGGCTGTTAGAGATCCCTGAAAGCCCTCAGTAGCAGAGCGATGGGAAAACGCACTTTCAGAATGCTGCATATCAGATATTTTAAAAATCCACATTCTGTCTGTTTGGGCATTGAGTGAGCAGAAGGAAGGGAAGGACTGCACTTGAAAGCCCTAGTATTACTTTCTGTGTCAGGGGAACTCCAAATTGATTTAAGAGTGATAGTTTCAAAAAATTAATGCCTGGAAGAAACTTCCACTTGTTCTATGTAGAAGTGTTGAAATATAATGTGACTTCCAATTGTCTTCTCTTTTTGTGTCTAGAATTTCTTTCCAGAGCAAATGGTTGCCTGGTGCCAGCAAACAAATGGCAGTATCCCACAGTCACAACTTTTGCAGGTACTGTAAGTTATCTGTACGGACAAAGAAAGTTTTAGAGCTGAAGGGGAGAGGTTGAGAGGAAAGAAGGGAGGATTCAAAGGTCCGGAGGTGGCTGGTTGGAGAAAGACCAGTGTAGTGGTACTACTGTAGAAAATCTGACAGAGGTCTTACCTAGTGGCATTGAGGTGTAAGTTGTAAGCACAAAGTATTTATAGCTATGTTCATATGTACTTGTCCCATTAATATTCAGCTTACTCTGTGGGTACCTGGTGTGGCCACCTAATGTTGTTCCTAAAACAGTCTCAGCAGATGCATTTCTAGAAAAATGAGTATACCTTATAAAAAGCAAAACAGAAGTACTCTTCTATACTCCACATCATAGCATAGGAGAAAGTGTAAAAATGCTTGTGTACATCAGAAGATGGGCTTGAGGCACTGAGAGATTTTGCTTTTGCTTTTCATGTCCCGTGGTTTTGCCTGGCGAGAATTAACCATAAGGACCAACTTCCCCATGGTTCAGCCAACTAGCTGCTCTTTTATATAGAAAAATAATTCCCTAGGAAGTAAGTGCAAGTAGTTACAGAAAATTGTATGCAGTATTTGCAAAGTAATCCCATTTAAAGCTCTCCAAGTTAAATTACAGGGATGTGTACCTTACATCATCTGTCTGTTGGTAGAGTTGTGTAATCTGCGTGGCAGTGGCACATGCACTGAGTTTATACTGAAGTTTTGATGTCGCTGTACAGTTTCTCACTTGCTCGTGAAGAAACTGTGGTGATGGCCCCCAGGGATGGTGCTGACGAGCGGGCTATCTTTCTGGCCAGTAACTCATTCACTTAAAGCTCTCAATTTAAGCACTCTGATCTAAACTCTGTTGTCTAAATCTTTTTCACTTTAGTTGTTTTCTGAAATAGAGGACATTCAGGTCATGAGGCCAAATTAAAACACAGTTTATTATATAAAGAGTATTGTATTAAGAATATAAGACCATGATGCCTGGAAGACAGTACCACGAATAACAGACAAATTATAAAGCAGAAGGTACAAACATATGATGGAAGTATACATAGAAGTGAACTGATTTTAGCTTGATTTCTGTCATATCGCATGTTTGCAAATATACACTGACTCTGTTTAAATACAACAAGCTTCCACTGACTTTTGAACCTGTGCACTCATTTTGTCCCATAACCACTTCCAAATTCATTAAATACTGGCTCCAGGTTCACTGAGGAGAATTTGAAATGTTAGCATCCACTCTCAGCTGGGAAACAAAACAAAAATCAAACCAATTTCTGGAATTAAAAATGAAAGTCACATGCAGTGAGGTTGCAATTGGGAACCAAAACTGACGTGAACGGGCATTGCCACAGACTGGTAGGAACAGAGGTGTTCACACCTTGAACCTTTTCCTGCGGTGCAAGTGGAGGATGGAGTTTGCTTGTAAACATGAGCAGCGGGACTCCCTAAAAGAGCAGGATGTTCTGGATGAAGTGTGAGAGACAAGAATTTCTTTCTGGGAAGGCTCAGTTAGTCCTGGAGAAGCATAAGTCGAGGGGGGTTAACAGCACAAGAGAGTGGGGAAAAGAGGGTGGTTACGTTCTCTTTGGTTCATTGTTCAACCATAAAAAATAATCTTTCTTAGAACATTTATGTTAAAATACCCCTTTCCTTTTAAAAAACAACCAACCATTTTTCATAATTTCAATGACAGTTGCAATTTGTGGAAGGTAAACTTCCTGCAGTCTGGTAGTCATTCGGCATGTTGCATTTCAGGCCACCTCAAACATTGAGCAAGTGCACTGTTTTTCATTACACACGGAATAGGGAAGAATATTAAATAACATCTCTCAATATCACATGCTGCATTAAGAGAGCTAGTATTTTTAGTCTTAATAATAGCATTAAAAACAGTGGGATCTGTTTTCCTTAGTGTCAGCCTCGCACAGATATGCAAAAACGCTTGCATCTTAGTTTACCTTTGGTTTATTATCTGGCTGGACAGAGAGAATATATTCGCCTTTTGGTCTTTCCCTTTCACAGTTTAGAAGTAGTTTCATAGTACAAATGGCTGGAAAATGGACTGTTCTTTTCCATTCTCTTAGATGAGATGGGGAGGAGGACTGGGAAAAAAAATGAGGTTTTAATGCAGCTAAGAATTCTGCCACAGGGCACTGATTTTTGGTTTTGTTTCCTGTGAGCATTGTCCACCAAATAACACCAAAACACAGCTTTCAAGAATTGCAGTGGCATCTAGGCCAACCAGATTTATGCGTTTTTCTTCCTGCTGTTGAATTCATTAGTTTGGCATTTTAACTAACTGAGTAAGCCCTCTGTCATTTAAAAATCTGGCCCGTTGTAATAAGGGAGCAATCCGTCAGTTTGCTAACCATAGTTAATATGTCCTTCCTTTGATGTATCGCAAATCAAATTATTCCATACGTGGTCCCTCTAATTATGTCAAGAACTTAAATACTTCTGGATCTCGAAGTCTAGTATAATTGCTGACACTTACTTGACTGCTCCATGCTTCATTTTGAGTTAAATATTCTGTTGTCTGTCGTACCTGTTGTCTTGGGACAGGTGCATGTGCTAGAGAAGACTTTAATGAGGGAAATCCTGTAATAGGCTGTTCCCATTGTAAAACTTCGGGATAAAGTTGCAGATTTTGGCCAATGTTTCCAAGTTAGACTAGTTGCCAGAACTGTTGTGACAAGGTATTATTTTAAGAATTAATAAGCTTACTTTGTGTCTCTTCAGGCCACGTGCAAGAAGAATGGGGATACAGAGAAATGCTTATAATTTTGGAGATTTAAGTATTGACACAGAGAACAGGAAAATGTCAGTGGCAGGAGGAGTTAGCCGAGTAGATGTAACTGGAGGAGCAGGAATATCGGTTTTGGTTGTAAATCAGTTTAAACATCTAGGTCAGTTTAAGCATGATGTGAAACTACCCCCCAAGTCAGCAAAGTGGTTTGCTGTTTGCTTCCTGTTCTGCAAATACAGTGACAATTTTATGATGGATCCATAGGACACAATACTCATTTACATTTTCCTCTCCAACAGAACTTTTTAAACTCCAGTAGCTGCCCTGAAATTCAAGGTTTCTTGCATGTGAAAGAGCTTGGTAGGAAATCATGGAAGAAATTGTATGTGTGTTTGAGGAGATCAGGACTTTATTGTTCTACAAAAGGAACATCAAAGGTAAGATTAAAAAAGAAGTTGCACAGTACTAGCCTGTGAAAGCATTTTCTGCTTTTACAGTGGGTGTTTTTTGGCTGGTCTTTAAACATCTGCACACAGCGTTGCCTTTTTTGATCACGTAGAAAAGGATGAGCAAGTCATGATCAAATGACAATCGAGCCCTGGGCTCTCAATGCATGAAAATAGCTGTATAGCAGTGCTATGTAATAAAACCAAACTAGCCAGACAACATAATTGTGGCTGCTGAAACTGTGCTAGCAAGATTAGCAAGGTAAATCATGCTCTTCAAGCACATGGTTGATGAATTTAGTTTAAATGGTACCTTAACAATATTTTGTATTACCTAACTTCCAGATTTCTCAGCAGCAATGAAATAGGCTATGCCATTTTTAATGTGATGTGTTCGAATAAGTCTTTCATCAGCTTCTTGTATAAAGCACCTTCTGCTAGTAGGCTGGTATTTGAAAGGGGGACTGACCGTGTCCCCTTCGGGCTGCCTGAGCGTGGAGCACGGTGTTCATACACTGCCCTCTCTTGGAGGCTGGCCTTGAGAGACTGCAGAGCTTGCAGCAGCATCTTCCAAAATCTTACATTTACCTATGCTAAAACACATTATTTCCCCAGGAGCCAAGACATTTGCAGTTGTTGGCTGACCTAGAAGACAGCAATATCTTCTCGTTGATAGCAGGCAAGAAGTTGTACAACGCACCTGCAGAGTATGGATTTTGTATAAAGGTAATTTTTCTCATTAAGTTCTTCCAAAGTTCAAGATGGCGTTGGTAGCTCAGTCTCCCCAGCCCCCACCTAAATGGGATTTGTACGTAAAACTCTGCAAGCGTTTCTGTCATGAGGACTTGATCTTTAACGTCTTTCATTTGGCAGGCATGTCCTGTGAATCCTGCCATCATTTTATGTGACACTTTTAACACTCTATCTGGTGCTTCTTTGGCTTGGGAAATTTCTGTGCAAGATTAGCTCAGTGCTGAAGCATGGTGTGCCTGTGAGGTGGCCTTGGCTCACCTCACAGATGAAATTTCTTTTCCAAGTACTCTGAATAGGAAAGTTTCTCTGGACAGCAAGCACCAAAACTATATAGCAACAAAGGATCAAGCTCCAGTTGGGTGTAATCGTACCATTGTTCTGGTCCAGAGGTTTGCACTTATTTAAAGAAGAAGATTGTCTTGGAAAATGGAATTAAGAGCAAGCAGTTGCCTTTGAGGATTTTAAAAACTGTTGTGCTGATGGATAGGTTTGGAAAGTGTTTCAAAGCTCCATGTAATTTTCTGAGAAGAGAATAAGGCTGGGAGCTGGTTTTATTGACAGCAGTGAAGTAGTCTTCTTCCTGGCAGCCGTTCCAGAGCTAGTCCGCATGAGTTTGCCTCAGAGAGTAGAGACTGGCTGCAGGACAGATCCTGAACTGCTGGAAGCAGACTTTCAGTAACCTTCAGTTGTGGAAACTTTGGTTCTTCATCTTGAAATGGAGGCTTACAAAACTTCTCGCAGACCGAAGAAAAAAAAAAAATACCCAAGCGCCTTGGTTCTGGTTCTAGCATGGCCTGCGTGCCTTGTTGCTATACACTGCCAGAGCAGCAGGGTATTTCAAAGCAGGCACTGACGTTTATCTTACTGGACCCAAGTGAGAAAGTAATTTCTTCCAAAGCATGCTCAGCCTCTCCTGAGCTTTAATTCAGGGTGGTATGAGCTTTTTCTGGCCGATTCTTAGACTAATACTGTACCTGCCTTTACTCTGCAGTAAACTTACAATGTTGTTGGTCTTTTAGTGAATGTAGCTGACTTCCCTCTAATACTTTATAGCCCAACAGAGTGAGAAATGAAACTAAGGAACTGAGGTTGTTGTGTGCTGAAGATGAGCAAAGCAGGACGTGCTGGATGACTGCCTTTCGACTCCTCAAGGTACCTAATCTCTTCTGTGTGAATGGAGCTACACCTATAGTTAAGTTGCATACGTTATTTTGTTCATGAGAAAGTACCTATATGTTCTTAAACATCATCTGCCTCCAGAATGATACAGCTAAGAGCAAAATGCCAGGTAGACCTGTCCCTCCTAAGCTTTTAAGCACAGGGCTGAGCTCAATTCCTTCCACACATGAATTAAGTATAATTTTAGCTTTGAAACCAAATTTATGATATGTGAACAAATCAAAAAAACTGCTTAATGAGGTATTTGCAAGTTATCATAAAACTGAAGAAAATGTTTTGATAATGGTAAGTGGTTATGTTAACTAGAACAGAATGTTGTCTAGAGCCTTTGCATTTTTTTCAGTTTTCTGACAGTTCTATTAAAAAAAAGTAACAAAAATAAGCAACCCTGTCTCTGGGTGAAAGTTATTAATATCTGAGAGCAAACAATGAGATTTTTTGATACTATGGTAGGAGGCTTCATGCTTTTTTTTGAAACAAATTCATCATGGAAGGAACTGAGGAGAAAGTTGACTGTTCTGCACTTTTGTAGCAGAGAAGTTCCTGATCTTCCTAGGGAAATGTGCAGAAATTTTGGTTTGGTTTGGTTTTAAATCTTTCCCTGAAGATGCTGTCTTGAAAACTACTGTGTTCTTCTCTGTACCTTACTATGTCCTCCCTCGTGTTAAAGGAAATATACACATATATAGAAAAATATAGTAAATATGTACAGAGAATGTGTTACTCATTAAAATCTAACCTCTCTTCCACGCAGTTATCCTGCTCTCTAGTATTCTCTGTCAAAAGTGAAACAAAGAACGTGTGATAAAAAGATAGAGACATGCACAAAGTGATACTGTGGTACTAGATGCTAGATACATGTCCACCAAAACAGGATGGAGAACCTTGACCTCAGTCAGCTTTGGGTCTCTGTAGCAAACAGATAATTTCTGAAGTGGAAACGAGGGCACAGCTGTTCCCTCCAGCCGCGGCGGTCAGCGTGGCAACGTGCTGCTGGTGGCTGCTGCGTGCCGGGCTGTGCCCAAAACGGGACGAGTCTCCCGGGAGCGCTGCGTGCACTTGGTCTGCTTGTCCTGAATGAACAGAGCCACCATTCCTGCCTAAGTAGCAGCCCACATCAGCAAAGCCTTCACACCCCTCTCTGCCAAAATGCCCTTTTCCCCACCGGCCTTTCCCACTCACCTGCTGCAGAAGATGCACTTCTGCAGCAGGCGTCCAAGGAGCTGAAAGGGAGTGGGTGCATCAGAAAGAGTATGAGGTTTTATTGCTTCCTGGTCCATGTGTGGCACTGGCTAGGAGAAGCCACATCATTTCCCATTGCTGCATGAACACTCTTTGTTCCTTCCCTTTCAAGAAAGTTGATCTCATTTGTTTATCCTCAAGACATGACAAAACATTTGCTACAATTACCTGTTCCTCTGCACAGGCACACTGTCCATCATGCAAAACCCTGTAAGTATAGGGAAAGCAAATCAGATTCCTAGGCCTGCAGGTATGAAAACAGGCTGGACTGATGGGCCGAGGTTCAACAAGGCCAAGTGCCAGGTCCTGCACTTGGGTCACAACCACCCCATGCAATGCTACAGGCTTGGGGAAGTGTGGCTGGAAAAATGCCCGGTGGAAAAGGACCTGGGGTTGACAGCTGGCTGAACATGAGCCAGCAGTGTGCCCAGGTGGCCAAGAAGGCCAGCAGCATCCTGGCTTGGATCAGGAATAGTGTGGCCAGCAGGTGTAGGGCGGTTATTGTCCCTATGTACTCAGCACTGGTGAGGCTGCACCTTGAATACTGTGTTCAGTTTTGGGCCCCTCACTACAAGAAGGACATTGAGTTGCTGGAGCATGTCCAGGGAAGGGCAGCGAGGCTGGTGAGGGATCTAGGGAACAAGTCTTATGACGAGCGGCTGAGGGAGCTGGGTTTCTTCAGTCTGGAAAGAGGAGGCTGAGGGGGGACCTTATTGCTCTCTACAGCTACCTGAAAGGAGTGAGGCAGTGTTGATCTCTTCTCCCAGCTAACTAGTGATAGGACGAGAGGAAATGGCCTCAAGTTGCATCAGGGGAGGTTTAGATTGGATATTAGGAAAAATTTCTTTACTGAAAGAGTGATCAGGCTTTGGAACTGGCAGCCCAGGGAAGTGGTGGAGTCACCATCCTTGGAGGTGTTAAAAAAATGTGTTTTTTTGAACGGCTGTGCCCCGTTCAGAAAACGTGTAGATGTGGCACTTCAGGACATGGTTTAACAGGCATGGTGGTGTTGGGGTGACGGTTGGACTTGATGATCATAGAGGTCTTTTCCAACCTTAATGATTTTATGATGCTATTCAATGAAAACATAATGCCTGTTCTCCGTCTACATTAAGTGGTCATCTTCCAAACCAGAGCACATCTGTTGGAATGCTCTCCAAATATTATCTCGTTTGTTAATTGTAAGACATTCTGTGTTGCAGTACAGAAATTCCTCTTTGAAGTTGTTACAAACGCAGGTGCACTGGCCATAGTATGGGCCAGGATGCAAGAAGCAACGCCAGTTACAAGATGCGTATTTGATTTCTGTGGAGCTGATACCTCTGTGGGCTTTCATAATCCGCTCTCCAGTTAACTTGACTCGTGTTTAATACACACTAACAATTATGGTAAGAGTTTTAGTCCCCAGGCAATTCCAAGTGCTGCTTCTCAGCTGTCCTTTAACTTTCCTTATTTATACAGAATTTTGCACTGTGGGGAAAGTGCTCAAACAGAGGATCAGATAGTTGTAGTGAACTGTGCCTTGAAGATACCACTTCTTTCTCTGAAGAAAATAGTTACATTGGTCGAGGCACTAATGTTCCTGAATGGCAAGGAAAAACCTTCACAGTGTAGAGAATTAGCTATTCTTACCAAATGTGTACACATGCATCTTGCTGTGACCGTTCGGAGGAATCTTTCTTTGCAGTGCGACCTGTGGCAGCAACAATACCGTACGGCAGTAATTTCTGTATACTGTCATATAACATTCACCCTTAGGCAGTTAACACTAGGGGAAAAAAAAAGGAGTTTGTTTTAAGGAACACTGAAAGAAGATAAAAGGTTGTATAGTCAGAGAAAATTAAGGCTGTGCCCCAAGGCTGTGGCTGTGACCCTCCTTTTTATTTACCTACTGATTTAGCTTTCCATAGTCATATATTACTCTGTTTACAAAATTACATATACCATTTCAGTTAGAACATTCAGTAGGCAATGTTGCTATACTTCAGCACTGTACCACCAGGGAAGGCACTGAGTAGGTGTTCTCCTACCATCCTAGCTACTAGCATTGCTAAAATTTATCATGTTCAACGCGGAGCATGACTGAAATTCAGTCACCCTATTTTTATAAGGATGAGAAAAGTACCGAAAGTGGTATTTCCCGCTGAAATTTATTAAAAGAGCTAGTGAATTAGAAAGAGTTTTTGTCATGATGAAAATTGAGTTTGAACATCTTATGCAGATTTTTTTTTAAGTTTGCATTACTAGAGGGTAAAAAGAGGGGGGGTTAATATGTGTGTTCTGACCTCGAGTGAACGCTTGTATTCTACAAGGAAAACATGGTGATAGCTGAGAGTGGCAGAAATTACCTGTGTGTTTCACTCAGGCTGGTAAAAATTCTGTCTTTTAAATGAAACTTGTCATGCATATGTACTGCTTGATTGCCACCTGCCAATCACAATTACTCAATACAAATTGCTTTGGGACAGCTTCTGATCATTAAAATAATAAACTGGTGGCACCTTGCTCCAGTGTAAGTGGTATTATGAAATCTCTACAATTTTTTTTCTAGGATATATATTTGAATAATAATGTCCTTGCATTTCTGTTGGCAGTATGGAATGCTACTGTATCAGAATTACAGAATTCCCCAGCAGAGAAAAGCCATGCTTCCACACTTTTCCACTCCAGTAGTAAGTAATGAGCTTTCCCTCATTAATGTATGATATTGGAAAAGATACATTTGCTTTTGCATTTTAAAAGTGGACAATTTTACACTAAGAGATGTAAATTCAGCATTGTGTAGCAAATCAATGTAAAGTTCACGTTTTGCTGGAGTACAGTCTGCGTGGTTGGCTCTCCATTATCGCAGGCTTACATGATCCGCATGATTGAAAAATCTTGGATACGTCAGGCGCCTTGAGATGTACAGTACAGAGACATCTGGCTGTCTCTGCAGAAGCCAGCTTGGGTCTGGCAAGACTAACACGTAAATTCCCTAAAATATGTTGGGCCAAGAGCTGACTGTTAGCTATCTAAAAGTGCAGATCCTATATTTGGATCCCAACTGGCCCTGAAAAATGACTGGAGTGGAGCAATAGGGCAAATGGGCAACTGGAGCAATACCGGTTTTATTCTCAGCCTTTGAATCTTCTCCTTCCTCTACGGCCTAAACCGAAAAGCCATCTATTTTTTGTGTCTGCGAATCTTTTGGAAGGGGAAAAAAAATGAGATGTGTTTTCTGTGCTGTTGAAGGATAACTTTAGACAGTCTTCTGAAACCAAAACATTTTGCAATGAAACTCTCGAGCTGGTTTCTTCTTTCCCTGTTTTTTGAAACAAGTGAAAATTCCTTTTCAGAGAAGTGTATCTGAAAACTCACTAGTAGCAATGGATTTTTCGGGGCATTGGAGGGTAGCTATCTTCTCTTCTTCTCTATTTTTGTGATTAGTAAGTGTCTGTTGAGAGCCGAAACACAGTGTGCGCTGTGATGTTAGTGCAGTGCTGGTCACAGTATAGCTTAGCTCCGACCTGAAGCAATCACACTGCAAGCATGCAGATCTGAAAGTCAATATCCATCTTTAGCAAAACTGTCACATTCACAACAACCTTCTACCACTGCTTCTCTGTCCCCCTAGTGTCCAGAGGAAAGTTGAGGGGGAAAGCAGACCCACCAGAACTTTACTGCCAGTTTGCAAAACCAGTCTCTGAGGAGGAATATGTCAAATTAAATGCTTCCCCACATGGAAGAGGCTGGGGCTCTGACTAATGGCTTGCTCCCAGTAAGTTTAATTGCAGAATATACAAGAGGCAGGACCTCTTGCAATGAAAACTGATGTAACTTGTTTATAGTGTCTTGTGGACAGACAGCTGCAGTACAAGTTTTCCCACATGCTCGTCTCTTAGGGAATAGGAGTCATTACTGAAGCACTAGCCGGTGCTTTATGTATGGGAGGGAAATACTGCTTGATTTACTGAGTGCCTGGTGTTTTGCCTGAGCAGAAACATATCAGACTTTTCTTTTTTCTGTCATTTTTTTATTTTTCTTTTTTTTTCCTTTTTCTTAGATACTGAGCTTTCATCATTAACATCTGGCTTGTGTTTTAAGCCAACTGAAATGAGCTGCTGCTTGTAGATTAGCCCCCTTCAAAGCTGCATTTCTTTTTCTCATCCTTGCATTAAATGTGCCCAGCCCCCAGTTTCCTGTAAATTAAATCTGTATTGCATGTGCACTAATTCTCTTCTGTTGAGGTTTTAGTGTGGATTTAACGGTAATTCATTTTCTCTATAGAAACGTAGCACAAGAATGAACATCTTGGGTAGCCAAAGTCCACTCCATCCTTCCACACTGAGTACAGGTAAATTCTGCTGGTTTCTAAGCATAGTATCAGAGGCTTTTGTGGGTAAATAAATATTTCTGTATTTCTTATAGAGACAGAGGTAGAGTACAGTCATGTAGTATTAATGCCTTGATGTCAAATACAGTGTTTATGCTTATCAGTAGCTTTTGTGTTATTAACATGCTTACCCATACAGACATAGTAGAAGGAACTTGTTTCCCTTAGAAGGTGTGCTCAAACTTTTCTTCAATATTAATCTTTTGAAACTCATGTGTTTTTAAAAATGGAGACTCCATGAGTCTTTCCATTTAAAAAAATCTGGAAGTCAGTTCTTTGCTTTAGACAAGAAAATTCAATGAGTGATCTGTTAATCTTTAAAGAGTAAAAATGAGAGTCTTCAAAGTACCATTCATTCCTTAATAACTGATTGATGTAAAATACGGATGCCTGTAGTGTGAGTCCTGAACAGCTCTTTGAGATTCTAAGTTTATTAAAATAACAGGAAATTGCGTATTAATATCCTGGACCTCTTAGAAGAAACACAGCTATTCTGCGTTTCTGTTCTGTTGAACAGAATTTAAAAATACCATTTGCAAAACAATAAGCATAAAATTGTTCGGCAGTAATGCCATCCTTGAAAGCACAAGCTGAAGTGCTTTTCATTATTTGAGAGTTAAAGGGACTTGGTTCTAACTCGTTAGCTTATACATTGTATTGTAAGAACTGTTGAGTCCCAACATTTTCGAGAAGCTATGAAATGGCAGTATCGTAAGAGATTTCTCTGGTTAACCTAATCATACATCTGCAGATCATAAAATACATGGAGGTAATGCCTGGCTACTTGGTATATTAAGTAGATGCAACAGCTGGTGCATTTTTTTCATATTGATTGATTTTTTATGTAGACTGATGACAGACGTTTTATATTCTGTAACAAAACTATACCCACTTTTAAAATGTTTAAATAATCAGCGTGTGGAAAAAACTGTTGCACATGTAGGACAGAGCTCTGGTTTCATGGCAGAATCTCTAGAGAAGAGTCCCACAGGATTATTAAGCAACAAGGGCTTGTAGATGGGTAGGTGTTCCTGTTGCTTAGTATTTATGATCTAATGGTAAGCATCATAGGCAAGAGCACAACTTCTGCCGTAAGGATTTACAGGTTTGTGAGCACTTCTGAGTAACCTGATTCTTGAGTAGTCCCATCATAACCTGCCTGGATTTCAAAAAGTCAGAGTACATGTGTGTAGGAGTGGGTTCTAACTCTTTATCTGAAAAATAAAATATTAAGCATACACTTAAACTTTTTGCTTTTTTCCAGAATTTGAAAATAATTAATTCCTGTAATCTGCATTGAGGACATTTTTCAGGCAAAGCTGTACCTAGCCATTTGCCTGCAAATTTATAATCAGCCATTTGTGCTCTTTTGCATGAATCGGAGCTGTTAATGATGATTTCTCACTATTTATTTCTGTTCTAGAGCAAAGAAATGAAAGTACCTGTTCCAGCACTCTCTAAAATGTCTGTAGTTGATTTAAGTATCTTCTGAGCATCTCTGTTTCCCTTATTTATGTGTAGTTATGGTTATTGAAGGGAAATTGCTTCAAGTGCATTCAGCAGTTCTTCATGTGTAGGGGGGGAGGAGCATGATTGCCTTCAGTTCACTAATCTCACTGCTGTCAAGGTTAAGGTAGAAACTTCCATGTTGACTTCTCAGGAGACAGTCGAGTTCAAACGTTTCTTTGGCATTTTCTGATTCAGGAGCATCACTGATCTTTGTGAAGAATGAAATACATTAGAGAAACAGAAATTGCTAGTGCATGTACATATTCATCAAGCAGTGGTTTTTTATCGTTTTGGGGGTTTTGCTGGGCTAAGGCTATTGGGTTTTAGCTTAGCAGGTCAAACAGAGAAGAGAGACAGAGAAAGCAAAGGAGCCCTGCTGACTTGTTGGGTTTCTGGTTCTCTCACACTGCAGATCTTCGTTATGATCTTGGGCTCATTTGTACTTGTTGCCTTAGGAATCTCATGGCCTGTCCTTCTTGGGGTTTTCCTAAATGTGTTAGTGCCTTTGAGGCGGTGTTAAATCTGTCCCTAGCCAGCTTGCTCACTGTGGAAGGTAAAGACTGCTTTGTCTGACTGTAGCGAGACCAGTCAGCAGTGGCAAAAGAACCATGTTACCCATGTGCTCTGAGACCTAAGGATCATGGTTTTCAGCACAGAAAAGTCTTGCCTGTGTTTTCCTGCTCTCTGTGTTCTTCAACCAAAAAAGATAGGAAGTTAACACTCTTCTGATGGCTCATGTAAGATGGTCAGCAGTGTATGTATGCAGCTGATACCGCTATCCCTTGGCTGCTTCTGGAAGCTGTTGTTGAGAATGCCTCTATCTTTGTAGTCACTGTTTGTGTGGACAGCCTGTTGCTTGCCAGAGGCTGAGTAAACACTTGCAGGATCAGTTGTGCTGAGCTTGTTCTGTGCCACCATATAATATGGTGGCACAGAACAGCATATGATAACCATGCAGCATCTGAAACGGCTGGATGAAACATAACTTAGAGATACCTGCATGAACTGCAGTAACCACAAGGCAGGTAAGATCTTTCTCCCTGAGATGGATCCTAATGTGTAAAGTCTTTGGTCCCTTTTTCACACATCTGGTCTTGCTAGGATTGAGAAGGAATGTTCAGATGCCATGCATGGTTTCTGGTGATGGCGAGACACGCCTGTCTCTGAGTATTGAAGTGACCCTGGTTATGACGGTGCATTTTTGTGGTATTGACATTTCTCAGTCGTTTCTGAGGAGCTGGAGTAAGTTCTTCTGGGTTTGTAAGGCTACAAGCAGTTCTTGCAACTCAGCCTTGGAAAAGTGTGTTCCTGGCTTAGTGGTTAGAAGTTAAGAGGGCTTGAGGCCTGCCCTGGTACTGTGCTTGGCCGTCTCACAAATCCACTAGTGATTAGCGCTGTGAGCCTTACAGCAAAGGCATATTCTTGTTTCCTGTGGCATGGAGAGGTTCTCCTTCCTTGGTTCCTATTTTTTGACTAGATTTCTTTCTCCTCTGCTAAGTACGTGTTTAACCATTTGAGTTAGGACTTTGATTTTGTGGGACAACTGAAAAGTGACAGTTACGTGGTGTATGATGTTGATACTCCTTTCCAGTGATGCTACTGGAAAAGTGCTGTGACTGTTTTAGAGGAAAAATCAGTGTGTGTTTTACCCATCATGATAATGTGGATGCTACTTAACTGAGAAGTCATTTTAAGAAACTATTGAGCTGTTTCTGTGCAGTTGCAGCCGTTTAACTTAAACATAATTTTGCTAACACTGGATTTCTATAAACTGGTGCAAGATACTGGAGAGTGGGAACAGATTGTCATGTATTACTTTCCCATCTACAGACATTCAGATTTGCTGTGGAGTTAAATGAGTACGTATCAGTAATGGAAAGAAAGCTCAGTTAGACCCTGAAGAGTCGTCTCGTACATACATTCATAGGGGAAGAACTACTGTCACTGCTGGTTTCTTCATCTGTTAGTGTTGCATAGCCATGGTATAAAAATTAAAAGCAAATTGCAAGTTCTGGAATCGCCTGTTAATGCAACTAGAGAAGAGTTAGGCAATAGCACAAAACGACTTAGTCGTTCTGGTTATTTATGAAGAAATGGATTGTGGTATTCAGTGTGTGCTTAAAAATGTTCTCTCCTAGACTATTTCTTCTCCGGGACAGCCAAAGCAATCCAAAGGCATTTGTACTTACGCTGTGCCATCATCAAAAAATAAAGCATTTTCAAATCTTGCCGGTAAGTAGATTATTTTTGGTACTGTTCACAAAAAGAGACATTTTAAGTCAATAAAGCTTTGCCAACATCCAAAGAGACCTCTTATTAATAACTGATTTAATTAACAGGGATGTTTCCAATAGCAAGTATATTAGCAGGTACTCTTTAGAATTGTCAAATGTCTGATTAAAGTTCTTTGTTAACATTGTCTGGAAAACTAATGTAAGTCGCTTAGGTACAGAAGTAACAAGTTCTCTGTGACTGACAGCAACAGCAGTGGCAGTTGTCTCCCCGTCGCTTAGGCAAACGTACAACAACTTAGGGAAACTTTAAAAAGTTTTATTCTGGAGGCTATCCAATAACACAGAGCTTGAAATAACATTGCACTGAGATATCGAGCACCTATTTGATTTTTAGCTTGATCAAAAAGAGCATCAGAAGTTTAAGATCGTGTAGACCTCTCTGTTTGGTCCAAACCCTCTTCCCTTGCTTCGCCTGCCAATTTTACAAACAGCGAACAAATATTTTTGGAGTATTTTTGTTTTGTGTAATGAAGACCAGTGCTGTCTCTGCAACTTTCAGTTACTCTGCCCACAAGCTTTCAGTTTCATAAGCAAAACTTCTCAGGCTGGGTTAACATACATTCTTTCCTAGTGCTGTGCCTGGTTTCCTGAAGACCTCTGGGCACCAGGTTGTTTGGGCAGCGCCCATCATTTGTCTGACGTCACACACCTGTGCTCTTTATGTTTTGCCACACTTGCATCTCTTCGTGTGCAGTCTGACTTGAAAAGGACGTTTTGTTTCCCCAGTGTGAAGATGACGGACAGATATTTTTCAGCCTGGATGACGGGAACACCAAATTCAGTGATCTCATCCAGCTCGTTGAATTCTATCAACTAAACAAAGGAGTCTTGCCCTGCAAACTCAAACACCACTGCATCCGCGTGGCCTTATGACCTCAAATCTGACTCTCACTGAAGACTGGATTTGCTAGAAGAGTAATTGTAAGAGAACGTTGACACTGGGGAATTGGCAGATTTGTAAGTTGGTAAAAAAAAATAAAAATATTATGCACCTTGGGACTCTGAAAGGGATGGATTCGACAGGTGCCAACAGACCAAGATTGCTGGTTTGTCTAACACCTAAGAGTGATTGCTGCTGAGTGTCCCAGCATCCCAAAACTGGGGGGAGGGTATGTAAAACCATGAGTAAATTTGAAACAAAACTGGAACCTATCTTGGCTGGGCCACTTAACAGGAACAAGTGTGAAGAGAAATCTTTGAAAAGAACTCTTGCCCTGGAATAATCTTGACAATTAAGACTAGTGTGTTTACTTTTTGTATCGATCACTTTTTTTGCACTCCTACTTTGTTTCGGATATTGTATGCAGCCTATATTAGGAGCTGATGTGGCTTTTAAAATTCATGCAGGAGTTGGGTATTAATCTGCACCCTAAAATGTATGGAATGCTTCAGCCTAAAAGGATCTAGAAGAAAATCAAGAAGTGTATGTGTGTGTGCGCGCGCGTGTGTCTCAAAACTTCTCTGGAGACCTGAGGTTCAGTGATCTGCAGAAGTCTTTGAAGAAGCAATGAGGATACCATTCTAAAAGAACATACCACCATATACGTACTTGTAGAACTGTTGACGTGTAGCATTATGGCTGTAGTATGTTGATGGCAGATTAGTGGCATCCAGTCATGCAAAGACTGTATTAGATTCTATGCACAAATTTTTATTATTGGAGTGATGGTTTGTTTTTTACAGCCTTTTGACTGTTTTCCTGAGGAAACTTACTGTTACTAAATAGAATAGGACTGAACGACTACACTTGTATTTGAAACCACCGTTTTTTGTGAGAAGATTCTTCTGCAGGTAGTCTTAGTATGAGAAAATAAAAAAAAAAACAAAAACCAGTGTTTTTAGCTTTATAGCTCCTTGAGTTTTTGGACTGCTTCAAAGAGCTCTTTCCATCCAGTAAAGCTACAGTGACACAAAGCTCTCCTGGGGAACAGCACATGAAAAGAACTGTACCCCTTCTGCTTTCTGCAGGGCCATGAAAGTTTACGTGGTGAGAAAGGACACACGGGGCATGGAAACACATTTGATTGTGGACTAGCTGCTGGCAGTATCATCCATCGTGGTAGCTGGTGATCCCTGTGTCACGCACGCTGCAGCACGCCAGTATCTATGGCAGACAAGCACGTATCCTGCTCTGGCTCTGGTTTGTCATCAGAACCACTTCATTGTTAATGTTTAAATCAGTTATTTAGTGTTTACATCGTAACACTTTCTGATGATAAATCAGTATCAAAGTTCGACAAGTCCCACCATGACCCTCCAATTGCAACTAGCATTCTTTCAGCGGCGCGGTTGGTGCAGGAACCGTTGCTGCGTTAACTTCCCAGTCCCCTCTGCTGTTAGCCACAGTGAGAAGTATTCCGCCCTGGGGACTTGCAGAGCGCAGTGCAGAACGGAACTTTCTCAAGATCGTACATGATTTACACAGGCTACTTCATCCTGACTAGTATTTGCCACTGGGTTTGAGATCCTAGCCATCTGAAAGGGTAACGAAGGAGAACCAATCCTACGCCTTGAGGTCTTCGTGTAGTGTTGAGAATAGCTTAAGACAAACCATAACCTGCCTGAGTTGTCCGTATCAGCTTAGAACTATGTCAATGGTATAGAAACACTGTATTTTAGTTTACAGAACACAGTTAGTATTTTTTTTCCATTTAATGTCTAGAGATTAAAAATGAAGAAACTTGATTTTGTTTTTAGTAAAGCCTTTTTTGGGTTTTTTTTTTAATTGTACATAGAGAAATGAGTGTTCCTGCTTTCTAGACAATGTATTTTAAAACCTTGAAATTAAGCTAACTTAAGTCTGACTTCACTCTGCATGCTTCTATTTGGCCCCTATTAGGACAAAAAAGATACTTGTATTGACTACATTACCAGTTTAATAAGACCGTTTATGCTGTAGTTTTAAGTTTTTCTGTTTACATAGCTTAGTGACAACCATGCATTTTTCCCAGTAGGCGGATAGTATTTGCAGTGTTTCATATTTATAAAAAAAAAAAAATCTTGCATCTTATTTAAATTGAGAATAAAAGTTTGACTATGAATCATGATTTTTGTATGTAGATGGTTGACTTAGTATTTTGTACTTTTCCCAGCTAAAGTGAACTGTTTTGAGAAAGTGACCACCATCAAAGTGGCAACAATCTTACTTAAGCAGATCACTGCTTTGTCTTCTCTCTGCTGGAAAACAGTCAATACCACCTTAGTTTTCCAACAGATTCAGCTGGCTGCCAGCTCAGAATACCAAGGACTGAAGGACATTTGACTCTTATTTTTGTATTTAAATGACATGAATGTAAAGGGGATGCTCAGGGTTGTTTTGGAGCCTGTTGAATTTTTATCTTTTTGCCTGTGATTTTATTTTCTAAATAAATACTTCATGTAGCAATCTTGAATATGTTGAGAAGGAAAATGCCAAACCATTTTGGTAATGAGGTTACTAGTTAAGTTATGTTACGATAGGTGTTAAAGTACAAAAAACCTTTTATTTGTTAATTAATCTTGAAGAAACACGTGCCTCAGTTTAGATGTTTTGTCTTATCTTTTCTGCACTAAATACCTGACAGTTTGACCAATCAATGCACCTTTCCAGTGGCAAGACTTGCTTATCGTAAATTATATTGTCACAATGCAAGATTTAGTGACTGTAAAATGGAATAAAGTTTAAAGTTTCAGGGAATGCAAAAGGTATTAACTTAAGAGACAAAACCTTTATTCAATATGCTTTGCTTCATACTGTAAATAGCTTTTTGGCTTGTGAACCTAATTGTAATCTTTCAGGTATTTTTGTACAAATAAGGGACTGATATTCTGTTTCTTGTAATTAGAAATAAACGTTAATACAATGCTATTCATTTTATATTGGAATGAATGTCTTCTTTTGGATATATCTGTACACCATGTATCTCTTGCCTTAATTCTGGGTTATTTGGGGTGGGTTATATTAAACAGTTAAGAGGAAAACAGAATCCCCAAAATACCTCTATTCTGGCTGTTCTGTCTTGTGATTCCTGTTGGGACAGACTACCCTTTACTGAAAAAAGAACTTGTTCACCCCTTTTGTTTGAGGAAGATTATTGGGGATATTCTGCTGTGATATTTACAGTACTCATTTGGGAAGGTTACTAGAGTCAAATCAGGAAATACACCGTGAGCATCTTTTGGGTCATAAAACAAAGCTGTAACTCACTGAAAATGCACACTCTGCATAAAGCACTTTATTGGCCTGATAGCTGTCGGATCAGGAAACTTCTCCCTAGTACTCTCAGAAAGCAGTTATTTACCCCTGTAATCCTTGTGTTTGAGTGATCCAGCAGCAGTTGGGTAGAAAAGCACATCTGCACAAAATATGTTTTTGCTTAAAAAAGCCTTGGGGGGGTGGGGGTGATTGATGGTTCTTCTGGTAGATAAACTAATAGAAGGTTGGAAATGTTTCACATTTTTGTTGGATACAATCCTTTCCTATTTCTGCCTTGCTAATCCATAAAAGCCATCGAATGCATTCCACTTCAAGCCTTAGTCACACTCTGGCTGCTGCATCATGCTGTGTCTTCCTGTGAGTCTGCATTGCGCTGGGGCGTGAGTTACCCGATAGCACTAGGAAATTCGTTCATCAGCAGATAAAAGGCAGAGTACTTCTTTTGGCTTTTGACATTCCCCAAATTTTTTCTATACAGAGATGCATGTTAAAGTGCTGAGAGTTCACTATCCTGCGTGCACCGAGTGGAACAAAGGGGGCTACCTGCCTGCAGAAGGTTTGAAGATGGAAGGTTTGAAGAGGAAGCTCTGCTAACGTTGAAACTGGCTCCCTCCGCAGTTCTACACAAATCTGTAAAAATAAAAACCAAACAAACCAACCAGCCCCGAGCCCCCACCTTACACTGTTCTATAAATTACGTTTGGAACAGACAAGAAGATGGCATGAAAACCAAGGCAGCAGGGTCAGAAGGTGTCAGTAAGCCTGCCCGGCAGCCGGGCAGCACTTGCTGCTGGTTTGTCCCAGCTGCCCACAGCGTGGCATGGGCAAAGCGGCACCTGCCAAGCCTGGCCCTGGACCTTAACAGCAGGTAGCTGTGCTATCAGGGCATCACCAGGACAAAATTAGTCTGGGTCAGAAATGGGTGTATGGTACAGATCTGAATTAATTGCCTGACAGAAGGTTTGTGCTGCTTTTACCTCGGTCGCAGGACAACAGACATAACCAGATGTCCGATCCCACATGAAGCCTGCTAGCATGAAGTTCACCCGGCAAAACAGCTTGGATGCATTTGAACCTGCGAGCAAATTTGCTTCAGACTAGTGTTTTACAGCATGTGGCTGCAGCGCTTCTATCCGGACACACAGAACCCTAAAGTTAGGTTGATTTTAACGCCAAGTTGCTGCTTCAGCCTTTGCCCCTTATACCTGCAAAACCAGATCAGAAAAACATCACCAGATGAGCCATTTCCCTTCAAGTGAAGTCGAACTTTAGATGACTTTAGGTTCATGTTAGTGCTAATTTAGTAATGCTTAATCTGGTTTGTTAATGTCCAGCTTGTATATTGCTTTGTGCCTGGGATATTGTCTAACATCTTGGGAACTTCAGCAACGGTATCAGCAGATGGAGAAAAGCAGTATCTTCCTTTGAAATACCCCCATTGCCTGAATTTGAGTTGCTTCTGCATCCTAAATCTTATGTCTTCCTTCCTTAACTTGGAGCACAATTTAATTAGTATTTGAAAACCTAATATAACCATAACGATGTCCACGAGCTATATGATTTTCATTAGGTACTGCCATTAGTCACATCTGAGACTTCAAAATAAATTAGTTTGGGTAACACACTGCAAACTCCTAGCCCGAAGACGTTCTGTGCTAATTGCTCATCATTTTACATAGATACTAGCAGATGTTTTAGCAAGAAAGATCCGTTCATCACAAGACACTGAGCTGTAATTAACAGGGTCTTATGACACTTGTTGGTTACCCAGGTTCATCCACATTGCTATAATCAGGTGTTCTCCATCTGCTGGCTGCAAGACTCTGGTGCCACAACTGGGGAACAGGAAGGTGAGTTTAGAAACACAGCTGCCGGCTCCGAGTTGAAGCGCAGCCTGGGTTTATGGGCTCTGAAGCTCAGCTCAGCTCCAGTCAGAGGTGGAACTCGTCAAGAGAGCTCAGAAGAGGTAGATGGGATGGAAATGGAGCAGTGAATTACTTCTGGGCAGTATTGCCCAAGCGATGGTTGCGGTGCGACTAGGAACACAGTAGTGTGACGCCTGAGTGCTGCTCACCGGTCCCTTAAGAGTAAGTGTCCCCTCCTCTTCCCTCACACTTGTGAAGACTCTTCTATGTAACGACCTCCATTTTATTTTGCTTTTGAAACACATTGTCCAGAGGTGTGAGGATTGGCATTTTGGGTTATCAAGCAGAGAAAGAGCTATGGAATTGGTGTTCTCTATGACCCACCCATTCTCCAAACCGTCTGTCCAACTCCCATCAAGAGAAAAGAAAGGTAAAAGTGTGGTTCTGGCAGCAACGATGAGAATGGTTAAAGCAAATGGCAAAGTTCAGTACTGAAAATGTACGATTTCATTGGCCCACAAAGAATGCTAGATACATCCTATTCTGAAATACCTGTAATTTAATTAGAACTTTTCAGTATTTGATTTCCCCCACAACACTTCTCTTGGCTGCTGAATTTCCGCAGGACATTGGTGTGCTCTGCGTGACTCTTACAAACTCTTGGTTTTCAGGTTAGTGTAGTACTCTCCAAATCAGGTCCAAAGACAATAACAAATACAGAAATGAGGCAAGCTGTGAGGATTAGAGCTTGGAAAAGCACCCCACAATGCATCTAGTCATGGAAGAACACAAACCAATAGTTACAGAAGAGGTGGGTAGAAGAATTAATTTGGTTTTTCACTGAAGACTATGTGGTTTGTGAAAGCAGCTGGCTAAACAAGAATGAAAATTGATGAAGGCTTAAAAAGTTTGCCTCAAAATATTTACAATCAACTGATGGGACAAGCTTTTGACTAGATCTAGAAAACAGAGCGCTTCAGAGAAGAGAGCATGCCTGGGAAGGCATTGCAACCTCTTGCTTGTACGCACACCATCACAAACAAAATCCTAGAAGCTGCTGTCTGTGAAAGGATAAGGGATCAGGGACTCTTAGGGACGGGAGCAGGAAGGGAGGATTAGGATGCGGTAGAAATGGAAGAGATAGAAGGAAGAGCATAAAGGGTGGTCAGAGGAGCAATCAAATACGGTTCAGCCAACTGGAAGGCAGAGACTGAGGGCAGCGTAACAGACTTGCAGAAAAACATAGGCAGATGAGCAGCATGCCAAACATGGGATTGCTCTCTCTTTCAATACAACAGTCGCAGAGCATCACCTGAAATGTGCAAGGTGCCTGTGCAGGAAAAACAGAAATATTTCTTTGTAGACAGCTCGTGTCAGCTCTAGTGCTCTCCACCACGAAATGTAGCATGTGGCATAAGTTCACACGGGTGCATGAAGGGCTTAAACATCATGACAGGGAAAGCTCAGCTGACGGACGTTACCTACAGAAATTCCACCTCTCACTCCATGAGTCCATGGCCCGCACGTCATCAAGCGCCGGGAGCAGTCTTTAGGGAAGAATGATTACTTGACAGCCCCTATTTGTATTCTTTCTTCCCTACGTGTCCACTGCTACGTATTAGAAGTGGTGTCGGGCCAGAGAGATTTTTGATCTGATGCAGTGCACGTGTCCATGTGAGGGCCAGCTCCTACGGAAACAACTGGAGGTAGCACCGACAGCTAAGGAAAGACCCAGAAAGCCCACGCCACAGCCAGCTGCGGGCTCCCTCGTGCTGGATGTAGGCTTTCACTTGACGCTTCATGAGAGAAAAGCACCGTGTGCCTCCCACCCTGACGTCTCCGAGCTGCCGCTGAGGGGAGTCACAAGCTCTGTTTTTTTCCCCCCTTGTTGCGAAGGAATGACTGATAAGGGTAACGAACACAGTGCTGTGCCTGGTTAATGATTAATGAGACGCTGCAGGACAAGCACAGTAGCAGGGAAGACCGGTTACTGGGCAAGCCCTAGACATTTCTCGAGATTAAAACTCCTCTGCTGCTTCTGGTGAGCTCTTCCTCGCAGGACGGGGGAGTGCAAGGGAGCTACAGAAAACACGTGTTGCCAAAGTGCTGGGGAAAGGGGCGACATCTCCAAACGGGTAAGGATAAACTCACTGACGTCTGGAAGTGGTTACTGCTGTACTTTCACCACCTGATCTGAGCTGACAAGTCCGGTCATTTGTTAAGGATTAAGCTCGCGAGCCTTTAGAAATGCAGCGTAATACTCTAAATGTGAGTTTATTTTAATTGATGTGAGCCTAAGCCAATTTTGTTGAAATAGTCAAGAGTTCATGAAGTATTTTAAAATCAAAACTTTGCAATTCACAACAATTTTAAGAGAATCTTTCTTTAACTGCTTCTAAAAATTGACTTGAGGGCACTGCTGGTAAAGTGAAGCGGTCTGGAGGGATGGCAGTGCCTCTGAATGATGGCATCCTGGGCAATCCAGGAGCTGAATCCCAGCTGACAGAGGAATTTTATTAACCTTTTCAGATTTGGTCAGGTTTGAA